ACATATGTTTCATATGTTTGTTGTTGTTTGATTTATCATCTACGGGTTTATGTCGAATTAATTTGATGGCCTGCTCCCAGTTGGCTTGTTAGCTCAATTGGTAGAGCGCTGCACTAGTATCGCAGAGGTCAGTGGTTCGAATCCCGTACAGGCCTGAAATTTTTTTCAGGTCTGATTTCACTATTGCTCAAATAGTGCTTTACTGCGAAGGATCGTGCACATATACAGTTTATTTCTGTTTGTAACTGAGTGGAAAATGCTTTTGGGGTTTTAGTTAAGGTCACTGAAACTCTCGCCTCTGTGGATGAAACTGCATCGAAGAAACACTCATCTGAAAGCTCTTATTCAATTTCTGGTGCTACATCACTAATTTTTAATGCTGTTCTAAGTGCTTCTGACTTTAGGAATATAAATAAAATCTGAGTGCGTGACGATCCCCAGGAACACCACTGAGCTGCAGTTCCATGTGTAACGGTGCGCTAGATATCTTCTTTCGATCTTCTGATACTGGAAATAAAATTCTTCTGTGTGCCTATTCATCTTCAAGCTAACAATAGAAGTATCTACTTTCATGCAAAACACCAGAAAAGCTCTCATGTTGTTTAGTTATTACATGTCTTCTCATATTTATTAAAATTACTTTTTTTACGCAACAGCGTGCAAACTGCTCGGTGACGTCGGGGTTTTCTTCAACTGCACAATGGACTGTTGCCAAGGCGAGCTGTGTAATACTGGAAGATCCACTACAAAACCATCTACTGTTGGGGAGGCCTCAACTACAAAAGACTTCCAGTCCTCTGCACCGTCTAGCGCAGTAAAGGGACCAGCATTGAGCCTTGTAAACATGTTATCTGCCTTAGTTCTGTCAAAGATCGTGGGATTTAACTAAGACCAGCTATGTATAGCTCTATAATATCATAGCTTTCGCGATTGAAAAGCTGGCTTCTTTGAGAAAACTACTGTCCGCTGTTTGTTACCCATGCTAATTTTATTACTAGCATCCAGTATGACTGATTTAATCCAAAGTTCAATCCTGCACTACTTTGAATAAAAGATTTTGTTAACAAATTTGTTTCTCAATAATATATGCTAGAGCCAGAAGCAATACTTGAGTCTTAAAAACTTCATCCCAAAATGCGTTAAAATTAATGCTTAATCAGTCTATGAGAAATGAACCAAGCTAACTGTGTTACGAAATAGGCTACATTCCCAGATTGTGCCTAAAAAAATTCAGCTGATGAAGTCAACAATTGCAAATGCACCTTTCTCTATCACTTCCATAACTTTGTATATCTTTACCCTAACATGGCTGCTGATTGGAAGGTGTAATAAAAACATGTACTGCTGACTATTTGACACTTTCCAATCCTGGTGAAAGGAACTCATGATGACTCACGCTACCTTTTTTTGCGTCATGTGAAACGCGTGTTGCATCGATGCATGCGCCGTAAACTTCGACCTTTCAAGATAAATAATAATACAGTAATAATAATAATAATAAAATAATAATAATAATAATAATAATAATACAGTAAAATGAACTTTAAACTGTCTACTGCTTCATCGATAGCATTGTCAAACACATCTGAATTCAGTTCCTGGTGTAATGAGTGAACATTACGTCAGAGTACGAGCTCTAAATTTAGTAACTCTTCACTGTAATCCATACACAAACTTCTCTGATATACACAAAAGCCATCGATCAACTTTGCTTAAATTAGGGCTTGTTGTAAGACTAAAACATGTCAGTAAAATTAGTGAGGTGTGACAGCGGAATTTCAATCGTTTCACTGGAGCATCAAGTTCCCTTGATGCTCTCTTGTACGCGACATGTACTATGTACCCTTACACTGAAAACTTGGTATCACCTCAGACCCAAAATTTTGGGGAAAAAATTTTCAAAAATGACTGTTCTCCGTTAGCTTTTACAATTAAATTTAAGCTTACTCGCTAGAAAAGATTTTATGTCATTTGTCTCTTAGTGGATATATTCATTCTTTGGTTCCTTTGAATGTTCAAATTTCAAAGGAACAATCTCATCGTAACCACCTCCACTTTGGCAGATAGTTGTTAAATATCCATAAAGACATACCTGAATGCCTGAATAGAAAGTAATGTTAGTATTTTATCAATCGTGTCAGTTATCTTATTAATAAAAACACTTTGACCTCGCTTGAAGATTCCTTTGCGATTTGGGGTAGCCATCACTGCAACCAAGGGCTTGACATGTTTGAATTCATAAGTTTGCACTTTAGCTAGCTACTTTGAAGCACTATTTATAATCTTCAGTGGTGTAAACCATAATTTAACATGTGGAAAAAAAAATATTCAAATTTCAAAAATGGGGTGGAGACTAACTGCGATACTGATCCTAAAGACTATTCCGGCAAGGTTTGCCCGTTTATCTAATCCACTACACATCATCATGGTACACTCATACAAAGAGCTCAATAATGCATGAAAGTAATTTCAGTTAATTGTCCCAAAAACTGGAGGGAGCATGTTTAGAATGTACATGTGCTTTCGACTCGAAGGGAAGCGTACAGGATACAAAC